TCGCGATAGTGAGTGAGTTCTTGTGAGATCCGTTTGTTTAAAAGTGTGTAGTACCTTCCCCTTCTCTCTTTCTTGCTCCTGCTCTGGTCATGTGACATGCCTGTTCCCCTTTTGCCTTCTGCCATCATTGGAAGCTTCTTGAGGCCTCCCCAGAAGCAGATACCACTTTGCTTGCTGTACAGTGTGCAGAATTATGAAACCTCCTTTCCTATAAATCACCCAGTCTCAGCCCAGCCTCAGGTATTTCTTCATAGCAGTGCACAGTTCTGCCTACTCACATGCCGTTGCTCCTTCTGGCCACTATAACGCTAGATTCATGTTTCAGTGTTGCTTCTCTGGACACAGCTGAAGGAAGCAAGCTCCCCGTTCTAACTTACATTTTATATGCTTTATTTTCAATAGCTCCCATGGGAAATCATCACTTTTTTGCCTTACACATAGAAAAACCTTGGAAATTTTTCCATCAAGGATTTCCACTGTCTGGACATTTTCCATGGATGAACCAGGAAAATAGTTTCCAGGCCCTGACATGCATTCTCTACACTATGGCCCTTATGAAAAGATATTGGCCATAGTTCCACCACCATTCTTTTTGATGATTTGGACCCTTTATTAATATATTTAGATATTTTCAATATGCCTCAGTCGTTTTAAAATAAAATTGGGTCTCTAGTTTGAGTTTCAATATATAATCTTTTGTTTGATATATTTAGATATTTTCAATACGCCTCAGTCGTTTTAAAATAAAATTGGGTCTGTAGTTTGAGTTTCAATATATAATCTTTTGTTTGAATTATAAAATAACTTTACAGTGACATTTAAGGAAAGATGGCTTATAAATACATTATGCACACACAATATACATATACATATACACCCATCCTAGGTGCATACTGAAATTAACCAAAATATATTTTATTTTATTTTTTTTTTTTTTGAGACCGAGTTTGGCTCTTGTCCCCCAGGCTGGAGTGCAATGGCACAATCCCAGCTCACTGCAACCTCTGCCTCCCAGGTTCAAGCAATTCTCCTGCCTCAACCCCCCCAAGTAGCTGGAATTACAGGTGCCCACCTCTGCACCCGGCTAACTTTTTTTACATTTTTAGTAGAGACAGGGTTTCACCATGTTGGTCAGGCTGGTCTCAAACTCCTGACCTCAAGTGATCCACCTGCCTCTGCCTCCCAAAGTGCTGGGATTACAAGTGTGAGCCACCGCGCTCGGCCAAAATACATTTTTAAAAAAGAAGAAAAACTTATCTGTGTTGAAATTAGAAGAACCAAACTCTTTCTGCAAACTTTGTATGTTTTCATTATAATTTTACCAGGATGAAAGGAGATCCAGAAAAGGCGCAGACATGTAGCATTGCTATTCTAGAGTTTCTTGAAATGCAGAGGACTGGGAATGACATGAAAAAAAGTCCACAGAGTCCCACCACGGCCTACAGCTTAGAGGACAAAAGCCTGTGGCCCAAGCAGATGATGGGAAGGACAGGGAGCTCCCCTTGGAAGCCACTTGACCTCTGTTGGGACATGCTGGACAGAACAGTCTGCCTGTATGATACCTCTCCTCCCGCCCTTGACACAGCTTCTTCAAGGTCATGGGCAAGATGAGGAGGCAACTAAGTTTCCCAGCCAGGACTAGAGCCGTCTTTGCACAGGAAAATACATATCTGGCTCAGGAAATTAAAAAGGCTTTGAGTTTCAAGAAAATCACCACAAAGAGGGAAGAACCTCTTGAAATCTAAGGATACCCCTACACATGAAAGATTCCATCCAAGCTGATAGAACTTCGCTCCTTTCCTGGCCGCCTTCTGAAGGAAAGTATTCCAATACTGTATTCCTTGATTGTGACTGATCGGGACCCTAACTCCCTCGCCACTGTCCCCAGGCAGGCTGAACAGAGATGATGGATTGCCAGCGTACAGCCCTCCAGGTACAGAGAGAAGATCACGACCAGGCTCATGTCAAAAAGGAAAGACAGCAGTGGGTTTCTATCTAGATCATGTGGACCAAAAGGCAGATCTCCTAGAACTGGCCCCGAGTTAAAAACAAACAAGCTGAAAAATAGGAAAATCTTGCAAAACTATTACAAAAAAAGAAACAAAATATACAACATAAACATGAATAATACATTTGTTTGGCTAGTATCAGGGGAAAAATAGCTTAGAACTGTTTTATGCAAGGACGTTGAAGAAAAGATGAAACACTATAAAACAGAAGCTCATAAGAGGAAAGAATAAAATAAAAAGGAGCTGGCAGGAACAGATAAAAAATAAGGGGTAATAACAGAATTGAAAAATTAGACCGGACACAGTAGCTCAATGCTGTAATCCCAGGACTTTGAGAGGCAGAACAGATCACTTGAGGTCAGGAATTCGAGACCAGCCTGGCCAACATGCTGAAACCCCAACTCTACTAAAAATAGGAAAATTAGCCGGGCATGGTGGTGGGCGCCTGTAATCCCAGATACTCAGGAGGTTGAGGCAGGAGAATCCCTTAAACCGGGAGGCGGAGGTTGCAGTGAGCTGAGATCACGCCACGGCACTCCAGCCTGGGAGACAGAACGAGGCTCCATCTCAAAAAAGAAAAAAAAAAAAAAGAAGAAAAGAAAAATTAAAACCAAAATAGATGGAATATGAATTTTGGACAACCTTGTTGCTGAGAATAATCACAAAGTGTAAAATATGTACCATCCCTTGGTCAAAAGCACTAGAGAGTTAAGTTAATGAAGAGTTACTGGGCCAGTTTATAGCAAAAGAAGGAAATCCAGAGAGGTGAGCCAGGCAATAGGAATGCCCTGGGGGCAACTTGGCAGTTTGTGACTCTAGGACTAGTCAATGGTGAGGGGCGTCATAAGTTCCTGTGGCTTTGGTTAGGAGCTTAATGGTCTGCACCCTAGGAGTATGGGCACATCACAAGTAAACTGGGCTACAAGTGTACACGTGGAATAATATTTCATCTCCTCAAGAGCCACTGCAATATACTAGGCAATAACAACACATGGCCCAGAAGCTTCACCTACATGGCACGTGACAGCTTGAGCACCTTGTATATGACGGGCAGAGGGGGGCAGAGGTGAAGTGGCAAGCATTGGTGCGGTGTTTTTTCTATTTTATTTTATTATTTTTTGAGATAGAGTCTTACTCTGTCGCCCAGATGGAGTGCAGTGTCATGACTGTGGCTCACTGCAACCTCTGCCTCCCAGCTTCAAGTGATTCTCCTGTCTTAGCCTCCTGAGTAGCTGGGATTACAGATGCCACCACCACACCTGGCTAATTTTTTTTTTTTTTGGCATTTTTATTAGAGACGGGGTTTCACCATGTTGGCCAGGCTGGTCTCCAACTCCTGACCTCATGATCCACCCACTTCGGCCTTCCAAAATGCTAGGATTACAGGCGTGAGCCACCACGCCTGGCCCGTTCATGACTTTTATAAAACTGTGTGAATTCAGACTGTGTGGTGCGACACAGAGATCAATAAATATGCCAATGAAATAAGCAGCGTCTACCAACAGCCTGACAGATACAATGAGACCTGATTTTTGACACAGGTGGCGGCTGGGGAACAAATGTTCCCAGATGAACTGGGTCGGTAGGATATCCAGGTGGAAAAAAATTCATCCCGATCCTTTTATTGTGTGTGAAAATTGATACCAAATGGATTCTAAGTCTAAACATAAACGATGAAAGTATGAAACTTCTAGAGAATAACATAGAAAATATCTTTACTAATCCAGAATGGGGAAAAATTAATTTAAGAAGTAAAGTCACGAAAGCTCTAGAATAATAAAAGCTAACGTATTTTGAGTATGTACAAAGTTTCAGGCACAGTTCTCAGAGCTTTGTGCAAATCTCATTTCCACAACAACCTTAATATGGCCATTTTGCAGATGAGGAAATTGAAATGCAGAAACATTAAGTAACTCATCCTAAGGTCACATAGCAGGTGCGTGGAGGAAATATAATTAGAACACAATCTTACTTCAGAGCTCACTCTGTGCTGTCCAATATGCTGGGTTCATATTCTTGGGATGAAAAAGCCCTTCCAATAACATGAAATAAAAGCCAAGAATCGTAAGTAAAAATACTGACAAGTTTTTTACACATATTTTAAATTTGTTTGGTCCAAAATAAAATTGCAAGAGAACTGAAGAAGTAGGAAGATTTTGCAGCACTTATAAGAGACAAAGGTCTAATGTCATTAAAATTTGAAACGGTCCGCAAATCAGCTTTAAAAACTCACCCAGATAAGAAAAATGGGAAAACTCTAGGAACAGGTAATTCTCAAAAGAATAAATATAAAATGTTCTGAATCAGGCTGGGAGTCGGGGCAAGAGTGATCTTATGGATAGATCCATCTCAAAAATGCCAGATTCAACAAAATTAAACTTAAGCCATTTTCTTTACTGTAAAATATATCAGAGCATTTTATATGTGGTTATCCACAGTGATTCTGCAGAAAAATTATCAAATGGAACATTTCCAAATCATGTCTAGCATAGGACTTTTTCCTCTGGAGCTTTTCCCAGGACTGAGGCTCTGCAGAACAAACTTTGCATTAACTCATCTACTCCACATAATAGCCCTATCATGCTCTCCATGTTATGAGATTATATAATCTAATACTGGCATTCTAAATTAAATAAGGCCTTATTCCACCACTACTGTGCTGCCCCCACCCCAAGGGTGTTGGACCTGGAAGGATTGTTAATGATTTAACAAAGAGGAAGGTGGAGATGAGAAGCAAAGTCAGTTGCTAAATCGTTCCTCCAATTCCCCTGAACTTCCAGAACTCTGGGTCCAGACTCTGGGGAATCATTTTAGACGGCATCTTTGCAGAACCAATGCATGGACTTGGATTGATCGATTATAATCTCTTCATTTCCTGAGTCACTGGCCCTAACTCAGCATCCTTTGGGCCTCTAAGTTAACTTTCCAGGAGCCAGTTAAGAGATGGCATCCCTTCCCCCAACCTCTGCTCCTGGAGGGCCTGGCACAGACCTGGATCGTCCTGGGCATGTCCCTTGAGTGCCAAAAGCAGGGGAATTAGAAGCTGGAACATCTTGTCATTTCAGTCCAAAATTGCCCAACCTTTGCCTCCAGCCAGAGCTGATAACATGCCAGCCACAGTGGTTTCTGGCAGGGGCGTCACAATGCAGGGCAGAGTAGGGCTGGTGACTTCACAGTGAGCCCTGGGCTCAGGGAGGGGCAGGGGATGCAGGTTAGCCTGGGTGAGCAGAGTCCGCATGTCCTGTCCTTCCCTGTCTCACGTCCCCTCTGCAGCAGGGGCTAACGGGGCACCCTGGAAGGACCAGGCTGGGTGAGCAGCTGTCGGCCTGCTCCCCTCCTGCCTTTGATGCTGCGCTTTTACTCCAGTGTCTGCCTTGGTGTTAAAGAGCTCTAGGTCTTTGGGTGATTTTTTATGTTCTCTGGAACCAAGTTACAAAAAACCTGAAATGCCTTGTTAGGACATTTGGATCTTACCCATGAGGTCAGCTGGGGAGGAAGGGATAGAATTAAAGAGGGTCATGTGGTAACATTTGCATTAAAAGATGATCCATCTCTACTAAAAAAAAAAAAAAAAAAAAAAAAAAAAAGCCAGGCATGGTGGTGGGTGCCTGTGGTTTCAGCTGCTCTGGAGGCCAAGGCAAGAGGATGCTTGAGCCCAGGAGGTCGAAGCAGTAGTGAGCTGTCATTGCTCCATTGCTCCAGCCTGGCCAACAGAACAAAATCCTGTCAAGAAAAAAAAAAAAAAGATGACTCTTGGTGTAATGTGGAAAATACTTTGGAGAGGATGAAACTAGAAGAGAGTATCACGTAGGAAGTGGTTCCAGTCATACAGACGGGACATGACAGGGGCCTAAAGTAGGAAAGACACAGCGGACCTGGAGAGAAACACAGGCAATGAGGCGGAGCAGAGAGGCACCGTGGTTGATGGGCTCTGCGGGATAAGCAGGCAGCTACAAGCCCAATCTGAAAGTCTGGGGTGGAAGGATAAGCTGGGGAGTCATCAGCCTACTGAAGTCCAGGGGTGGGTGAGGTCCCCCGGGGAGAGCATCTGCAGAGAGGAGTGCAGAAGGCCCAGGCTGGACCCTGAAGAACCCTCAGCATCTACACAGAGGAGGCAGAGCTGGAAAAGGAGGCTGGCAATTGCCAGAAGAGCTGGAGGAAACCCAGGAGAGGGAGTTGCTGTGGAAAACGGAAAATGGGCCAAGAATGCTCCAAGGAGAGGTGCTCTGATTACAGATAATCCCTCCCCTCTGCTCCTCCTACAGCCTCAAGGATCTGATACCATCAGTTATGTGCCCTCTCCCTCATCCTCCACTTCTCCTACTCTTCCACATCCTTCTCATCAGCCTTTGAAGGTGCTTTAGTCATGCCACCTTAAATCCTTCAAAATAAACAGCTCCCCAATCCCCTCCCTGTCAGTGACTTACCTATAGCCACCTCCCCATCTCCTCTCATTCACAACCACAGTCCTTGTCACTCAAAGAAGAAATGAATGAAGTGCCTGCTGGCTGAAACAGCAGCTACCTACAAGGCTCTCAAGTTATCCAAGAGCCCCCCAGTTATTTCCAAGGGTCACTCCCGCCTTCCTTCAGGTATCTTCCCAGTCACCCTGTCAGTGAAACCTGCCCAATCACCCTGCAGAAAACCGCACCCACCCCTCCCAGCCTGCTCTCCCCATGCCCTTCTCTGCTTCATTTTTCCCCTAGCGCTTGTCACCCTCTGACATCATCTATGCTTTCAGTATTTATTTGCTTTCTGTCTCTCTCACTAGACTATAACCTGGATGAGGTGAGAGCTTTTTCCTTTTTATGTACTCCCTTATCTCATCTTTAGAATGTTGCTTGGAACATATTAGGCACTTATAAATAGTCGGAACTAATGAATGCATGCACGCCTGGCTGGATGCCCTGAGAAGAGAAGGCTTCACCTCCCACTCAAGCTGGGGGCTGACCCTGAGGTGTTCCGGACCTGGCTTCACCCTGATGAGTTGCATTCTCTTGACCAAGTCATTTGAAGTCTGAGTCTCCTTCCCTCTTGTGGGTTTTTTGAGAGGATTAAGGAAAATCGTGTGATCATTCAATAGGATTGTATATAAAAGCACACCGTGACAGCAGCAGGGCCTCTGAGACTGGCAACCTGGATTGGAATCCAGGTGTGATGCTCAGTGCCCTGTGATGCTGGCTGTATCCTCCACGAAATGAGGCAGGGGCTGACTTCATCCGGTTCTCAGGATTGTTCTGAAATGCAAACCCATCAGCACGCAGGAAAGCATCAGAACCAATCAACACCCAACCCCTCTAGCACCCCAGTGACTCACTTGGAATCAGACAGGATTAGATGGGAATGGCCTCTGGGATCCCATGTGCCTAAGCCAAGTCTGTGGCCGTGATCTATCACTGGCTGAAAATGCCAACTTGGTGGTTAAAGTTGTAGCCTGGGCTGCAGAACATCAACGCCACCATCACAGCAAACTAGTTATGGACGCCTTACTGTGCCGTCGTCACTGTGACCGCAGAGGTCAGCCTATTCTTATCCCCCATGTAGTGGTAAGGAAAGTGAAGCTCTGCGAGGCTAAATAACCTGTGCAAAGCCCCTTGTGGAGATGGCAGAAGCAGAATTTGAAGCAAGGTACGTCTGATTCCAGAACCCACTCTCTAAAGCAGCAGGCAGACCACCTCCTAAACAATGCACGCAACCTAAATAGAACAGCTTCTCAGAGCAGCGAGTGCCTGCGTGATCATCAGAGAGGACACAAGAAGCATCCTCCCAAAGCCTCTGACCTTCGTCTCTGCTGGCGATCCCTCATCCCTGTGAGGTCCTTATGTCTGTCAGGTCCTAGTCTAACAATGACAGTGGGTTTCATCTGCTCACCGGGTGATAGATGCCCAAACTACTACACTGGAAGAGATTCCAAGGCCAACTTTTGGCTCAGTTGTGATCCATCGGCCAAGACCAACATGAGAGCTGGGGAGGGGGAGGAGGTAGAGTGTGGCCGTTGTTCCAGACCTCTGCCTGCCTGTGCCAGGGCACTTGCCTGTGCTTGTGTGATTTTGTAGGTTTCCACACATGCTGTTCAGCAAACTGCTGTACATGGAGGAATCGTGAGGCTTCAGCCAGACCTTTCCCACCAGTCTGAACAGAAAACCCTGCAGCAAAGGCACTGAGGAGTGGAGTGGGCACCATGACATGGCTTGTGATCAAAACACAGCTGGTTGTCTCCTGTTAAAAGCCATTCAGAGGCCGGGCGCGGTAGCTCACGCCTGTAATCCCAGCACTTTGGGAGGATGAGGCGGGTGGATCACCTGAGGTCAAGAGTTTGAGACGAGCCTGGCCAACATGGTAAAACCCCGTCTCTACTAAAAATACAAAAATTAGCCAGACGTGGTGGTGGGCACCTGTAGTGCCAGCAACTTGGGAGGCTGAGGAAGGAGAATCACTTGAACCCAGGAGACGAAGGTTGCAGTGAGCTGAGATCATGCCACTGTACACCAGCCTGGGGGACAAAGCGAGACTCTGTCTCAAAAAAAATAAATAAATAAGCCATTCAGAGGGCATGATGTATTCTGTCCAGATAAAACTTGGACTCGGAGCTTTTCTGATTATTCTCAGGTAATAGTCCTACGGTCACTTGGGTCTGAATTTAGGACGATTTATGCATTAGAATATCCAAACCCTTGTCACATTCTTGACACAGAATCTGACTCAGTGCTTCCTCCCTACCTGGGTCCAGTTAGGAACATGGTTCCTTTCTCACCTCCCCCTCTGTTCACCTGCCCCCCACAGGTGAAAGTTTAGGGGAAGGCACAGGTCCAGGTGAGCCCACATACCAGCTCACTGTTCCTTGGGCCTGGCAGATACTGAAGGCTGGCTCTTATGTGGTGTCTTCATGGGCTCTTCCATGGTTCCCTGCTGGGTGGCTTTCTCCTGAAGTCCCCAGGCCAGGGTGGGGCTCTCTCTATGCCGTGTTGCTTTCTGCTCTTTGTCATCCCCTGAGCACCTGGTGATACACCCCAGACTCTTTCTTACAGATTTTTTTGCCGCCTCCAGGGAGCCTCATGGGATGAATCCTAAGACCACCCCTGGGCGTATCTCTCTCTGTGCAGCCCACACTGGTTCCAAGGAAAAACTGTGGGTTCAGGACAGTCCCTACCCAGCAGCATCCCTCCCAGAACCATTCTGTCACCTCCAGATTTCCCAGGTGTGAGTCAGACCCCAGCGATCCCAGCAAAGCTCTCTCCAGGGGGCCTAACTGACGCTTCTCAAAGATGTCCAGAGATGACCTGCATTGGATTCATCTGGAAGAAGCCGTGCTGTTACAAGTGCTCAGACCTCTTCCCCACCCCCGGCCTGCCCCACCCACTGGATCAGGAGCTGAAGGACTCAGCCTGTAAACAGGTACTAGAGTTGACAGATAAAATATAGGACATGAGCTATATTTGAATTTCAAATAAACAGCAAATTATTTTATGATGAAAATGTCCTAAACACGGTATGGAGTATATTTATACTAAAAATATTTGTTTATCTAAAATTCAAATTTGACAAGGCATCCTGGATTTTTGTTTGCTAAATCTGGCAACCCTCATCTGCACTGAACAAGCTCCCTGGGCTGCACATCCAAGTCAGCACCACAGTTCCAATGTGTCTCCTCCAAAAGGTATGCATTGGAAACTTAATCTCCAACGCAACAGTGCTGAGGGGTGAGACTTTTGGGAAGCATCTGGGTAATGAAAGCTCTGTCCTCATGTACAGATTAACACCACTTTACAAAGGGCTTGCAGGAGTGGGTTCACTCTCTTCTGTTCCTCTGAAGAACTTGAAGACACAACATTCCTCTTCCCCACAGGACGTAGAAATGTGGCACCATTTTGGAACCAGAGACCAAACCTGCCAGCACCTTGATCTTGGACTTCCCAGCCTCCAGAACTGTGAAAGAATACATTTCTGTTCTTTATAAATTACCCAATCTGGCCAGGTGCAGTGGCTCATGCCTATAGTCCTAGCACTTTGGGAGGTGGCAGGCAGGCTGAGGCAGGCAGATCACCTGAGGTCAGGAGTTCAAGACCAGCCTGGCCAACATGGTGAAACCCCTTCTCTACTAAAAATACAAACATTGGCCAGGCATAGTGGTGCACACTTGTAATCCCAACTACTGGGGAGGCTGAGGCACGAGAATTACTTGAACCTGGGAAGCAGAGGTTGCAGTAAGCCAGGATTGCACCACCACACTCCAGCCCGGGTGGCAGAGTAGGACGCCATCTGAAAGAAAAAAATTTACCCAATCTGTAATATTCCGTCATAGCAGCACAAATAGGCTAAGACAGTCAGAGAATCACTGGCCCAGACTTCGGTAAAGTCCCCAAGTCAATGCCACCCTGGGACCTCTGGGGCGTCAGCCAGGCAACAGTCCCCACACAACCCATATCCAACCTATATCATCATGTGCCTCCTTTCCTCTTTGAATTTCATCAGATTCCTTCTACAGCACTAGCATTGCTCTTCTCACCCTGGACCCCCTCGTTAGCACAGTCCGAGGGAGAGAATTTCCCATTGTAGCCTATGGGGGATGGCGCCCTCTGGAGTTGCGCAGAGCTCAGTATGTGAGGCTGGGCTGTCTCCATCCAGAAGATGGGACATGGTGCAACCCAGCATCACTGTGAAGATTTGCAAAGCAATGCTGGACAGTGAACGAGTATTTCACAAGAATAGATCTAAGTCACGTTCTTAGGAGGGACGTAGACTCTACGAGGTGGTCTTCAGCAGGAAATCAATCTTTCCGGAGATGACCGACGATTTTGTTCAGTCACTTCTGTTGAAAATGAGCAGCAGTTTGCAGTGGATATGCCTGTGCCCCTTGTCTCCCCATCCATGAGATTAGCTGTCATCTTCCATTCCCTCATCAGACCTGGAGCCCAGGCTCCTCCTCCCCTCCACACCTACCCCCAGAGCCAATAGAAACGGAGCAAAGGAGAAAGCATTGGCATATAGTAGATGCGTGAGTAGTAGGTCCAGTGGGGACCCGAGCCCGAAGGAGGGGAAGAGGAAAGCCAGGGGGCTCCCTATGAGGCCACCCTGAGGGCCAAAGAGTGAGACTAAGTGGTGAGATCAGGGCCAGGTGCCTGGGTGTGCTGTGGGTTCCTGTCCCACAGGCCAGTCAGAAAAGTGCTGGCCTCCATCAGGGCCAGGCATCCCCTGTTGAACAGGTGGGTGAAGCATGGTTCAGAGCAGGTGGGGAGGGCACCACCTAGGGCCACTCAACAGGCTGTGGCTCAGCCTCAGAGGGGATGCCTGAGCAGTGAGGAGCAACCTTCGCCAGGGAGCTGCCTTGGGAGAAAGAGCAGAGAAGTCCTGGAATCTCCTCCCCAGGAAGTAGCTCGAGCCACACCCGTGAGAGGCCACCTTGCCGGTCATGTGTTCTCACTTTAAGCCTCACAGTAACCTGCATGCCAGTGAGCGTTGTGTTTCTCTGCTGCAGATGAGAAAACCGAGGAGGTAAGACTGGGCAGGTAGACACGTGGGCACTTTGGCGATTGAGTCCATAAGTCACTTCCAACCACTAGGCTCAGCCTGTGGCCAGGAAGGTAGTGCCCAGGCTGCTTGGGTAAGTCCACTTGGGTCAGTGCACTGAGGGGTGTGGAAGTTTTAAAAACACACAAAGTCTAAAGCATGACTGAGTCACTGACATCCAGTGAGGCCACACACCAGGAACCTCCATCTGAGGCTGGTTGTTTCATCTGGAACACACAGGGGCCCATCAGGACACTTGGGGGCCATGTGGGATCCATCTAGAAGGTGGTAGAAAGGGGATTGGGACCCGCCACACTGGGCATGAGGGGAGGCCAGAACCTCTCAACCTGACCTGGGCAGCCACACCTGAGGCCCCGGGTCAGAATCCTGGGCAGAGAACTAAGCGGGCAGCTGTACCCCACAGGGTGCGGGTGCTGGCAGAGGCCTCCAGGCCTCCCCGGACTGAGGGCCCAGGCTGGAAGCCCTTCCCCCAGACATTACCCCCACGTTCACAGAGAAGCCGTGGCCTGAACTGAGCCTCAAAAAATGTTTGGGGGTGACAATGGCTGAAAGCATCATTGTGCCCACCGGAGGCTCAATGATATGGCTTGACTGTGTCCCCACCCTAATCTCATCTTGATTGTAGCTCCCATAATTCCCACGTGTTGTGGGAAGGACCTGGCAGGAGATGCCTGAATTACGGGGGCAGTTTCCCCCATACTGCTCTCTTGGTAGTGAATAAGTCTTACAAGGTCTGATGGTTTTATAAGGGGTTTCCCATTTCACATGGTCTCATTCTCTCTTGTCTGCCGACATGTAAGACACACCTTTTGCCTTCCACCATGATTGTGAGGCCTCCCCAGCCACCTGGAACTGTGAGTCCATTAAACCTCTTTTTCTTTATAAATTATCCAGGCTCGGATATGTCTTTATCAGCAACATGAAAATGGACTAATACACTCGGGAAGTTGGGTGGTGCCCAGGTCAGGGAGAAGGAAACCTGGGATAAGAAAGGCTCTGAGATGAGATGCCTCTGTGCAGCCATCCTAGAAACAAAACAGTCAGAAAAGAAGTCTTCATGACTGCAGTCTGAGTTCTCGGCTCCACAGCCCATTGTGACATCACCCGGGGGCCCTGGATCTGAGCCAGAGGCTGTCAGCCTCACTCCCTGAGCCCTGGCCTCTGTCACCCCCGGGCCCACAGCACAGCCTAGGGCCATGCTCCTGTTCTCAGTGTTGCTGCTCCTGTCCCTGGTTACAGAAGCTCAACTCAGTCCGCGGACTCCTCTCCCAGAGGCTGAAGTGGCTCTCCTAGGTGGGGCTAGGGGCGCCCACCACCCTCAGCGCCCTCATCCCCCCCGCCCAGTCAGTGGTGAGTCCAGGAGCAGAGGGGGCATGGATGGGGGCTCATGGTCCAGCTGACTGGCTGCCAGGAGGGTGGATCGCAGAGCACAAGGCCAGAGCTCCAGGGGTCCCCACATGCCCCTCCTCCAAATCACTTCTCCCTTTTCTCCTCTCTTCCCTGGCCCAGTGTTTGACCTGTCTGACCTTGAGTTTTGGTTTTGAAACTGACACTTCATCCTCAAAGGAATAGTAGGCTGCCCTCAAGCTTGTGCCTAGAACTAGCTGAGACTGAGTTCTGCCACTTGGAGGGGGACCATTACCCTGGGCCTCTGTGGCTCCCAACAGCACCAGGCTTCCAGGAGCCATAGATGCCCAGGGAAGCCTAGATCAGTCAGACCAAGTTCAAGGATGCTTGTGTCCTTGTGCCTGGCCCCCTGCAGCTCCCTGATGGCTCATTTCTTTCTCCAAGGGGATGGGCGAGACTTCAGGGACACTGGGGTACTTAGCAACTGTTAGGGGTTGAGCACTTCCCCGTGTTTAACGCACACACCACCATGGTGGGGCATCTGCTCTCAGACCACGTGTGGACAAGGAACTCAGCCTCACTGAAGATGAGGATTTGCCCAAAGTTGACCCATGGGGAAATGACAGAGCTGTCTGCTCGGCCTGCACTGGCCCGCAGCGCCAGGTTGCCTGCCCTGTGCACACTGCCTCTTGCCCAGAACACAGCAGGTTCACCTGGCCTCCTTCAGTCCAGCCTGGGGTCCACTGCACTCTGTGTGAACAGGGGGTGGGGGGAGTGAGGGGAGAGCATCAGCAGAACATGCTCCTCTGGTGTCCCATTGCAAGGGGGCCCAAAATGCATGATTGCTCAGATCACTCAGAAGCAGCCGTTTCTGCTTCCATCACTGCTTCCAGGCTCTGAGCTCTTGCATGAACCTAAAAGTCCACATGATTCCATATGGATGTTGTGGGTTGATCTCAGGACCAAGAATGTGGGGGATGGGTCCCATGGGGACTTTGATTCAAAATGGATATGAGAAATTCTGCCAGTTCATTCTGGAGAGTTGACTTTGGTCCAAGCACTTTGTCGGCCATTTCAACATCCATCCCCTCATTTCATCCACACGTCAGTCTTATAAAGTTGGCATTATCTTATGCTTATTTTAGGAATGAAGAAAGTCGGGGGGGGGGTACTCAAAGATAAGTAGGTTTCCCTAAATCATTTAGTGAGTAAGCAACAGAGCCTGGATTCAAGCTTGGGCTGTCTGGCACGTGCCACGTTCTGCATCTCAGATGGAGAGACAGAGGGCACCCATCATAGCTGCCCACCATCCAATCCACCTCATAGACACTCGGCATTTTGATGTACTTCCTTCCATACTTATAAACCCACGTTCTTAACATAATAAAATCACAAGTTTTAAATATGATTTCCATCCTGACTTTTTCGCTCAATTTTTTATCACAAACATTTCCCTGTGTTGTTAAAAATCCCCCATGAGCCTAATTTTGTGGCTGAGAAGCAGTTGATGATATGGATGTGCCTTACTTTATTCAACCCTAGCATTTAGCTGGTTTTCAATTTGTCACGATGATAGAGATCGCTGCAGTGAACATCATCAGATGCACATATGTGCTGCCTTCCAGACTCCCAGAGTCATTGAGTCAGAGGATGACTTATGGTTGTTGAGTGCCTCTTCCATGCCACGTGTGGTTTTCGGACCCTGGGACCCGCTATCAACCAGACAAGCATGTTGCCTTCTCCGTCTGGAGCTTACATTCTGGTACCAGAATCAGGCAAAAGGGACTTATAATGTAGGAGTTAATGTAACAAGGATGCAATGAAGAAATGTAACACTGGGTAGGAAATAAGGAGTCACCAGGATGGGAGGGGCTGTTTCAGACACAGGTCAGGGAAGGACACTCTGAAGAAGGGATTCTTGGGCATAGTGAGGAGGTGAGCCAAGTAGCTGCCTGGGGAAGAATATTTCAGGCAGAGAGCCACATGGGGCAGTGATGAGAACACCAGCTCTGCTGCCAGCCTGCCTGGGGCTCATATCATGGTTCAGTCACTGACTAGCTGTGTGACCTTGGGCAAACTACTTAACCTCTCTGTGCCTCATTTGTCTCAACTACAAAGTGAGGATGAAAACAAGAGAGCCTACCTCAGTAGGGCAGTTATGACAACCAAGTGAATCGGTGCTTGTAAAGTGCTTGCGACAGTGCCTGACACACAGTAAGCATCATATGTAAATAAAATCAGAGAAGAAATGTGGATCCAAAAGTCACTAATAGGCTGGGCATGGTGGCTTATGCCTGTAATCCCAGCACTTTGGGAGGCAGAGGCAGGCGGATCACCAGAGGTCAGGAGCTCAAGACCAGCCTGACCAACATACAGGTTTAGTGAAACCCTGTCTCTACTAAAAAATACAAAAACTGTAGTCCCAGCTACTTGGGATGCTGAGGCAGGAGGATCGCTGGAACCTGGGAGGCAGAGGTTGCAGTGAGCCAAGATCATGCTACTGCACTCCAGTCTGGGCGGTAGAGCAAGACTTCATCTCTCAAAAACAAAACAAAACAAAAGTCCCGAAGAGAGCCTTTATGCATTACTGACAGCAGAAGGCTCTGGATGCACATTGCTAAGTTCTCACTCGTGTATTTTTTTTAAACCAAAAATGATCACCACGGGGTCACCCAAACGACAAAACCCTCACAGCTTCTATTGAGCTGATGGTTGGAAAATGAGCAGCAAGAAAGAGACAAGAATAGGGTCTCAGGCTTTTTAGAGTCAAACTCATACCTTGTCCCAGAACGCAAGGCAGACATTCAAGTCAGCAAATATTAATGGAGCATCTCCTCTTCCTGGGGGCGAGGAGCTGGACCCGGCCTCTGTCCGGAAGGGGAATTTCCTGCCTCAGCACAGGCAGTTACAGCTTTGCTCTCAGTCCCCCAAGTAAAGGAGCTGCTCAGCCTGGACTAGCCTAGAACAGCCAGGGCTTTCAGCCAGGGCTTTCCGGTAGGTTCTGGCACTTTCTGTGCCCCGCCCCTTGTGGTTTCTTAGGGCTGCTGAAATGAATGACTACACACTTGGCGGCTTAAACAACACAAATATCTTATCCTACAGTACTGTGGGACAGAGCTCCAGCAGAGGCCTTCCGGGGCTGAATTCAGGGTGCGGCAGGTCTGCATTCCTACTGGACGCTCTAAGGGAGAATTCTTCGCCTTTCCACTTCCAGCTTCTAGAAGCTTCTCTGGGCCCCTGCCTTCATCTTCAAAGCCAGCTATATTGCATCTCTCTGCCTTTCCTCTGCAGTCACTTCTCCCTCGGCCTGACCTTCTGCTTCCCTCCACCCCTCTCAAGGGCCTCAGTGATTCCACTGGCCCCTCGGAAAAGCCAGCATCGTGTCCCCACTCTGAGAGCAGTGGTTAGCAACCCAAATTTCATCTCCAAAGCCCCTCTTTCCTTGCAAGCTAAAATATTCGCAGGTTCTGGGGAGATGGCCTATTAGAACTTGGACCTCTTTGGGGGGCTACTGTCCTGCCCACCACAGGACGTTGGCTTTGGACGCTATTTTTCTTCCAATTTCTCCTGGATGAGAGCAGAAAGCTCAGTGAAGTGACTCTCCTGAGGTCACAAATGCTGGATAGAGTCAGAGCCAATGCTTCTGACTCGCCTGCTGAGCTCTGTGTAGAAAAACTGAAGCATCTGCTGGCTGATGCCACAAGAGCTGCCCCGCTCGCCAGCCTCAGTGAGCTCCTCTCTGGAATGGGGGCGAGGATATCCACTTGGAAGCCTCCTCCTCCCAGCCCGGTCCCCGGCTCACACTGGACGCTGACTAAATGTTTCCCTTTTTGCTTTCCACTCTCTTTCATTCCACCAGAATGTGGCGACAGATCCATTTTCGAGGGAAGAACTCGGTATTCCAGAATCACAGGGGGGATGGAGGCGGAGGTGGGTGAGTTTCCGTGGCAGGTGAGTATTCAGGCCAGAGGTGAACCTTTCTGTGGCGGCTCCATCCTCAACAAGTGGTGGATTCTCACTGCGGCTCACTGCTTATATTCCGAAGAGCTGTTGTAAGTACTACGAGCCTCCCGCTGCTGCCTCTCAGGGCGCCCACCCCTGGGCCACCCTCCCCCTCACCCACACCTGGAGGCTGAGAGGAACCTGTGGCTGTTCAGTGTCCAGTCAGCATGAACGGCTCCCACCCACCCACCCATCCCCTAGTCCTGGGGACATGGAGGTAGCCAGCCTGAGGCTGCGTCCTCCTCACATCACCCAGGGCCAATGACCTCCCTGAGGTCACATCTGCCCTCTCCAGGAACACCTGTGGCTTGATGGAGCCAAGCGGCTCGGTCCAAATGCCTCTTCTGGGGCATTCAAGTCCATCTAGGGGGAAATCCTTCTAATTCTGGAAGCCTGACTTCCTGGGCCACCTGACCCCCTACTCTCCTGCTCCTTGTGACAGCATGTGGATGAATGCCTGGTATTACTGATGACTAACTATGTGCTGGAGACCCTGCTGAGAAACTTTCCTCTATTGGCCAGGCGCGGTGGCTCACGCCTATAATCCCAGCACTTGGGAGGCCGAGGTGGGTGGATCAGGACTTCCGTGGTCAGGAGTTCAGTGGTCAGGAGTTCGAGACCAGCCTGGACAATATGGTGAAACCCCATCTCTACTAAATTAGTTGGGCATGGTGGCGTGCGCCTGTAGTTCCAGCTGTTCAGGAGGCTGAGACAGGAGAATTGCTTGAACCCAGGAGGCGGAGGTTGCAGTGAGCCAAGATCATGCCACTGGCACTCCAGCCTGGGCGACAGAGCAAGACTCCATCTAAAAAAAAAAAAAAAAAGAAGAAGAAGAAGAAAGGAAGGAAGGAAGGAAGGAAGGAAGAAAGGAAAGATTCCTCTGTTACCTCATTTAATCACACAGTGACCCCTGGAGCAGGTAGAATGAAGAGCCCTCATTTATAGATAAGGAAACTGAGGTCCAATAAATTGAGGCCGCTCACCCACGGTACCCACCTAGTATATAGAGACAGAATTCAAACTCTGGCTCTAGCACTTGTGCTTTCTGCTACACCAGCTCAAGGAAGTTTGAAGACCTACAGAAGGGCTGATTTTAGAAGGTTAATCAAAAACCCAAGGACAGTTTCATCATGTCATAACCAAAGACCCTTGTGGCACCTGCTGTCATGGGATAACAAATATCTTGTGGGGTTCTGAATGTGGACTTATTACTGAAGCTCCTGTCTGCTTGGTCAGTGGTGGTCTAGACTAACTTCTGGTCCTGAGTTTCTAAAGTGTTGGTAGACCGGTTGAGATAAAAGATATATAATAATGAATGCCTTACCTATCTGAAAACCAGTTTGATCCGTGCCAAGGGGCTTTTTGTGGGCTCTGTAGAGTGCCCTAAACCCAGCTCTGCCTTTGCTGTGTTAGACAGAAGCACGCCATTCACATCTCTGGGGCCCCCAATGGTGCCATGGTGTGGCTGTGGTCTGCTCACCGGCTCTTCTGTTTTTTGTTTTTGTTTTTCCTGCCTTTTTCCAATCCTCACACCTTCTGAGCTACAGCCCCAGTAGGGTCTAAATGTCCTAGAGCTATATGAGATTTAGGTTTCTGAGCACAGCCAATTCTCCCACTTTTGAGGCTTCCCTTCCCCTTTCACTCGCCCCTCTCTGGTTCTCTGCCACCAGTCCAGAAGAACTGAATGTCGTGCTGGGGACCAACGACTTAACTAGCTCATCCATGGAAATAAAGGAGGTCGCCAGCATCATTCTTCACAAGGACTTTAAGAGAGCCAACATGGACAATGACATTGCCTTGCTGCTGCTGGCCTCGCCCATCACACTCGATGACCTGAAGGTGCCCATCTGCCTCCCTACGCAGCACGGCCCCGCCACATGGCACGAATGCTGGGTGGCAGGTTGGGGCCAGACCAATGCTGGTATGTGACTGCTCAGCTTCCCCTGGGGAAAGAGCCACTGCAATCTGAAGGAGAGGGGAGGAAGGGGGAAGGGGAAGAGCTGAGGAAGGAGTGAGGACAAGACTTGCTTTGGAGCAGATTCCTGCGTAGTGGAGGCTCACAGAGCCCAAGCCTTAGCTCCTTTTGAGTGCTGAAACCCCAAACTGAGACACCAGGTCTGAGCCAGTCTGATCCAGCCAGCACAGAGCAGTGTGGTTTGTGTGTTTAATCGAATTTAAACTCTGCAGTTAGCCAGAGGCCCCTCTACTCTGTATTCATAAACATCTTCCCTGATTCCCACGGGTGTGTTTCCTACCTGGCTCCTCCAAGCATTGGAGATGCCCACCCTGGGCTAGGCTTTGATAGTCCTGGAGCATTGCCTGGCTCTTGTTAGAAATGAATCTGTTGTTACTTGTTGTTATGCTGTTACTTGGCCAAAACAGAAGAAAGTCTACTGGGACAGAAAGATATGATGAAGGGCCTGCTGGACTGTCCCCAAAGAAAACCCAACAAAACCAAAAGCAAATAGATAGGGGAGGGGAGGGGATGAGAACAGCAAAGCATTGCGTCAGCCTGAACGAGGCTCTGGATCCACAGGGATGATTCGCAGCGAGCCTGGGCCTGGACGGCCGTGGGTGTTTCAGGAGTTGAGCAACCAGAGGGAAAGTGGTGGGACCTTAGTTCTGGGCTCCAGGCACTCCTGGAAAGGTAGAAGAGGGAGAGGAGGCACGTGGGCACGTACAAGTTTAAAAGTCTTCAATCAGGGGAAGAAATGTGAAATCTCTTTGTGGTCAGAGTTAATGAGATGGAGAGGAATCTGGCTGAATTTCCAGCATCTGGTGGCCCAGAAAGAGCCTCTGCAAATCCCCTCTAATCCCATCTCAAGACACTCTGCCAACCTGCCCTTGCTGAGGAACTAAAGTTGTTTCACTGGGAGTGCAAACCCACCTCCCAAGGCCCTGTGTGAAGGAAATGCCATCCTCATGTAATAAAATGTCACAATAGGCAAATATATTGATGAGGAAGGATTATGCTGAGAAACAGTCAGTAGCCAGTTCCAAGAAGCTGAGTCTGTGGGGACGACTGGAGTCAAGTTGGAAGTCTTCTTGGGAGTAGAAATTTGGTGTTGAATGAGAAGAAGAATTCCAGTAGTTGCGGGAGTTTTGGGGCGAGTGGGTAAGTTGCAGGCATGGGGCAACCTGAAGGAAGTGAGGGGCTACAGAGCCTGTGAAGGCAGGGGGTGGGGACTGGTGGACACAGGGCCGAGGGCACGGTCAGCTGCATCATGAGCGTGGGGACATGAGGCCTGGTGGCTTCTCTAATGTGCTTTCTCTCCGGGCCAGCTGACAAAAACTCTGTGAAAACGGATCTGATGAAAGCGCCGATGGTCATCATGGACTGGGAGGAGTGTTCAAAGGCGTTTCCAAAACTCACCAAAAATATGCTGTGTGCCGGATACAATAATGAGAGCTATGACGCCTGCCAGGTAACTAGGGGGTACCCTCCCTCACGTAATAGGTCCTCACCCTCTCGGAACTGCCAGTGCAAGGATATTCTCTCTCTGCTGCGAATAGACAATTCTGAGTCTGGAAAGTGTATGGGAATTAGGGCCTTCAGCCATGGGAATGAGGATGTGGATTGCAGGACCTCTGGAGCTATGAGTGAGCACACCTGGGAGTCAATATGCTGCAACCCTGCTTAACTATTTCTGATCTTCATCAGGTACACTAGGGAAACAGGGTGCCAAGGCTTTTCTCATTTCTGGGAATTCTTTAAAAAAAAAAAAAAATCCAAGGAGGACTTGGTATCTATATAAGAAGTCATTTTAATTCATTAATTTGGAAACCTTTGTTGAGCATACAAGGCCCTGGAGACCCGTAAATGAGATATGGTTCCTCACCTAAGGGACCCTACAGTTTCCTGGACAGGCAGTGGATAAACAAACGATGATAATATATTGGGTATTGCATGTGGGTTTCATTGAACCAAAACTGGTCTCTTTGCCTCTCTTTAATAAAATGAACACAAGTTCTTCTTTAAAAATTATTGATAGCCAGAAAAATAGAAAAAAAAACACCCATAAATTAGCTTCCTCTGGCTCTAAGGATGAATGAGGAAATTTGTCTTTCGTGCTCAAAGGTGCTCTCTTCATCTTAAAAGTGGCCAGCCTGATGAACCTGCTTAGTCCCAGCTGAAGACTAGAGACCTGCTCATTGGCCAGACAGTGGACCTGGTCATTGGTATAAAACCACAAATGCAGATGATAAATATTCTGAACAGTGATGGAGAGGCTGCCCCATGGAAAAGAAATATATTTATCTAGAATAATCTGTTATGGTTTAATGTGAGAAAATTGGTAGTTTTTCCTGATAGGCTATGAGAGCCTTGAGAGGTGGGTACTGGAACAGGGGTTAGAGGCAGAAAGGGAAAAGAGAAAGGAGAAGGCATTCTGAAGTAAGAAGTAGACCCTGGCAGCATAGCACTAGGTTTAGGAGCCCCCCATGTGGTGAAAACTGTGGGGACCAAAAAGAGTGACACATGAACCTTGTATTTTCTTCACTTTCTGGGCAATTTAAAATATTGCCAAAAAACAAAAAACAATGCACACAGAATTGAGACTTCTGATTCCAGACAAGACGGAGTAAACACAATTCTCCCAGCCCCTCCCACTAAATACAACTAAAAGCACGGGATAGTATCTTGTAAAATAGAAACAAAAAGGCTCTGAAAGGTGAGGAGAAGATGGTCTGACTGGAGATCCTCGGGTATTTCTTTATAGCCATGCAAGAATGCATTACACACAGCATGACCAGAAAACACTAATTGTCCTCCCTGATTAGAATTTGTTATAATACTGTACTTATTCTAGTCACCTCTCAAGGATCATGGAATGGGACATCATCTCTCATTGAAGTCTGCTTGCAAGGTTGTAGTTGCTCAGCTCCTTTGGTGAGAGAGTAATATAACAAAGGTAGAGAGGGCATGGGCTTTGGCATCAGAAAATCCTGGGTTACACATACCTCAAAATAATAAGAGCCGTCTATGACAAACCCACAGCCAACATCATACTGAATGAGCAAAATCTGGAAGCCTCCCTCTCAGGACCAGAACAAGACAAGGATGCCCTCCTTCACCACTCCGATTCAACATAGTCCTAGAAGTCTTAGCCAGAGGAATCAGGCAAGAAAAAGAAATGAAAGGCATCCAAATAGGAAGAGAAGATGTCAAACTATCCCTCTTTGCAAATGATATGATTCCATACCTGAAAAACTCCATCGTCTCTGCTCAAAGTCTCCTAGAACTGATAAGCAGCTTCAGCAAAGTTTCAGGATACAAAATCAATGTACAAAAATTTGTGACATTTATATACACTAGATAACATACAAGCTGAAAGCCAAATCAAGAATGCAATTCCATTCACAATATCCACCAAAAGAATAAAATATCTAGGAAGACAGACAATCAGGGAGGTGAAAGATCTCTATGATGAGAATTACAAAACATTACTGAAAGAAATCTGAGACAACACAAACAAATGAAAGACATTCCATGCTCATGGATAGAAAGAATCAATATCATTAAAATTGCCATACTACCCAAATCAATTTACAGATTCAATACGTTCCCTATCAAGCTACCAATGGCATTCTTCACAGAATTAGAAAAAAACTATTTTAAAATTCATATGAAACCAGAAAAGAGCCCAAGTAGCCAAGGCAATCCTAAGCAAAAAGAACAAAGCTGGAGGCATCATGCTATCCAACTTCAAACTATATACAGGGCTATGGTAACCAAAACAGCATGGTACTGGTACCAAAACTGACACCTAGACCAATGGAATAGGTTAGAGAACCCAGAAATAAAGCTGTACACCTACAACCATCTGATCTTCATCAAAGTCAACAATAACAAGCAATGGGGAAAGCACTTCCTATTCAATAAATGGTGTTGGGATAACTAGCTAGCCATATGCAGAAGATTGAAACTGGACCCTTTCCTTTCACCATCAACTGAAATCAACTCAAGATGAATAAAAGACTTAAATATAAAACATAAAACTGTGAAAACACTAAAAGAAAGTCACTACGAAATACCATTCTTGACACAGGCCTTAGCAAAGATTTCATGAGGAAGTCTCCAAAAGCAGTTGCAACAAAGTAAAACATTGGCCTAATTAAACTAAAGAGCATCTGCACAGCTAAAGAAAGTGTTAACAGAGTAAACAGACAACCTACACAATGGGAGAAAATATTTGCAAACTATGTATCTGACAAAGGTCTAATATTCAGAATTTATAAGGAACTTAACAAGATTAAAAAATGGGCAGATGACATGAACAGACACGTCTCAAAAGAAGACATACATGCAGTCAACAAGCATATGAAAAAAATGCTCAATATCACTAATTATTAGAGAAATGCAAATCAAAGCCACGGTGAGATATCATCCCACACCAGTCAGAATAGCTGTTATTAAGGTCAGAAAATAACAGATGTTGGTGAGGTTGCAGAGAAAAGAGAAGGCTTCTACACTCCTGGTGGGAACATAAATCATTAGTTCAGCCACTGTAAAAAGCAGTTTGTAGATTTCTCAGAGAACTTAAAACACAGCTACCATTAAACCCAGCAATCTCAATACTGGTACATATCCAAAGGAATATAAATTATTCTACCACAAAGACACAGGTATGCGTATGTTCATCACAGCACTATTCACAGTAGCAAAGACATGGAATCAAACTAGATGTCCATCAATGGTGAACTGGATAAAGAAATTGTGGTACATATACACCGTGGAATACTACGCAGCCATAAAAAAGAACAAAATCATGTCCTTTGCCGCAAATTGGATGCAGCTAGAGGCCATTATCCTAAGTGAATTAATGCAGGAACAGAAACCCAAATATCGCATGTTCTCACTTATAAGTTGAAACTAAATGTTGAATACCCATGGACACAAAGAGGGAAACAATAGACACTAGGGCCTACTTAAAGGTAGAAGATATGAAGAGGGTAAGAAGCAAAAACCTACCCATCAGATACTGTGCTTACTACCTGGGTGATTAAATCATTTGTACACCAAACCCCAGTGACATGCAATTTACTCACATAACAAATCTGCATATGTACCCTATTAAAGTAAAATAAAAGTTGAAAGAGAAAATAAGAAAATCTTGGGTTACAGGATGGAGGGTACTAAAAATAATTAAAAATAGAACTACCATATGATCCAGCAACCCCACTGCTGGGTATACATCCAAAAGAAAGGAAATCAGTATATCAAAGAGACATCGGCACTTGCATTTTTACTGTAGCACTATTCACAATAACCAAGATATGGAGTCAACCTAAGTGTCCCTCAACGGATGAATGGATAAAGAATATGAGGTACATATACACAATGGAATATTATTTAGCCATAAAGAATGAAATCCTGTCCTTTGCAACAACATGGATAGAACTGGAGGACATTACATTAAGTGAAATAATCCAGGTACAGAAAGACAATGCATGTTCTCACTCATAAATGGAAGCTTAAAAAAAAAAAAAAAAAAAAAAAAACTCATGGAGATAAAGAATGATAGTTACCAGAGGCTGGGAAAGAAAGCAGGTGGGGACTCCAGTGAAGGAGCATGAAAACACAGTTAGTTAGAATGAATAAAATCTAGTTTTTGGTAGCACAATAAAGTGATTATAGATAACAAGTATATATTTCGAAATAACTAGAAGAGTGGAATTGAAATGTTCTTAATACAAAGAAATGATACATACTTGAGGGGATGGATAACCCAGTTACCCTGATTTAATTATTGCACATTGTATGCCTATATCAAAACGTATACCCCATAAACATATAAAACTATTATGTACCCATAATAATTAATTTAAAATTAATAAAAAGAAAATCCTGGGTTCCAATCCCAGCCAGTCTACCATAGAACCCTCAGCAAGCCCTTTCTCCTCCTGCAGGCTCATCTGCCTTGTGTGAAGGTGGACGGAAAGATGTGGGGCATTTGTTTGATTTATGTAGATGTGGGGCATGGCAGGGACTTGGTTCAGAAGCTCAACATAAGCGGATAACTATGCGAGTCATAGACCATGCGATTCCATCCTGGAAGGGTCACCCATTCTGAAAAGCTTGGCTGAATTAAAAAGGAACGTCCTTCTCTCTGTGCCTCTGCAAGAACACAAAGGAGACCCAGTTCCTAGCCCTACAACACTTCTTCACATGTCCCATTTCCTTTCCTGCCCTTTCCAGAGCCTCTCATTTGATAAGACCCTCAAAACAAGTCTCCACTCATCCCTTGGCCTGCGTCTCTCTGTGCTGCCGATGGAGTGGTCTTTTCTCACCAAGCCCTCCCTCTTCCTCCCCCATCTTCAGTCCTGTCTCATCCACAGCACCCCACCCCCAATGCTCTACAACCCTACAACCTCCAGAGCCAACCTGGCAGCCACACGCTTCTCCCGTGGAGCAGGGATGGTGTGG